TGCTGTGGAAAACTTCCTTATCAGCAGTTGCCAGGTGAACTGTGATGTTTCCTTTGTTTGCAAATGGCTTCTTTTGCACCTTAAAGCAGTTGAGATCAGTCAAGTTCTTCATCAGTCAGCAGTGTAACTTACTGAAATGAACTTAACCTAAGTGGGGGAGTCAGCCACTCTAAAGGGTGTTGCAGCCCACCTCCTGTTCTCTTGTTCAGGCAGACTTTTATTTAGAAATGCAGTAATTCAAGCACCAGTGTTCACAGAGTAAATCTTTAAAGTCATGCCCCTGTTGTGGATGGTTTTTCAGGGACAATGCCTCAGCCCTGCTTAGTGAATTGGTGCCTTTTCCACAGTGTATTTTCTCCTTACTGCTACGTGCAAGGCACTGGGCCTATCCCTTGTAAAAGAGTCAAACCCAAGGCCAGAAATAAGTATTTCGCATCTCTAATGCTTTTCTGTGGTACCTGATCATTTTGCCCCTGTCTTAAACCTGAGGACTATTGAATCTTTGATCCTTATCCAACCTTTGACTCTTTCTTTATGCTTTCAAACAATCTCAAGTTGTGCCAGTGGAGGTTTGAAATTAATATTAGGAAAAATTTGTTCATTGGAAGGTTTATCAAGCATTGGAAAAAGGCTTCCTAGGGAAGTGGTTGAATCACCACCCCTGGAGGTATTTGAAATGTGTAGATTGTGACACCTAGGGACGTGGTTTAGCTGTGGGCTTGGTTTTTCAGGTTAATAGTTGGACTTGATGATCTTAAAGGTATTTTCCAACCTAGATGATTCTATGATTCTTTGTCTTCCGAACCCTGTCTCCATCTGGCTCTTTTAGACATTTTCTTCTTACCAAGATCTTTCTTTGTATCACCCCCACCGTACAAGCCAGCAAAAGTCCCTTGGACACAAGAGAGCTCATGTTGCCATGCTCAGCTGCTGGAAGTCAAAGAACAAGTTCAGGAAGGAATCTCCATACACTCCAGCAAGTCTGTGCTGGGGCACAATCTGTACTAAATAAGTCTCTTCTCAGATTTTAGTTGCCAGCTGACTCTGCTAAGGATGTGAAATAGATTTTTTAGAAGAATATTTATAACAGCCAAGAACTGGAAAATTTTCACTCAACTCAAAAAGGGAAACCTCAAAGCCAAGAAGGACACCCTGACAAAAATCCTTACAAAGCAGGGAGGCACTAAGTCTTTTCAAGAAAAGGTTTGCTACAAAGGGTTTTATTAATCTGAGCAAAATATTCTTGTGCTCTCATTTATAGAAGCAATTGGGCTGCTTGAACTGTATTCCCTGTGCTCCCTGCCCCTTCTCTCTCCAGTAGAATAACTCAACCTGAGGCCAATACTCAGTATGGCTATTTCCTGCTCAGACAATTCAGGATTTTATGACAGAGTCACCAGCACAGTAGTACTTGTAGTGCAGAAGCAGCTTTGTGTACACAATGCACATACAGTGGCAGAGGGATGTGTTATCATCCCAGGGATTTGATAGATAATGCTGCTGTAACAGTGTAATTTTATTTTTTATTTTAAATACTGGACTCCTTTGCCTTCCTAGCCTTTAGGCTTCATTTGTATGTGCACCAGCTGTTTGTTACATTCTTGATGGCTAGGCCTTGGCATGATTTAAATGGCAACTGAGACTATCTCATGGTCTCCTGCCTTCAAGATTTTAATAAAAACAGCAAATAAATAAAACCTGAGAGTGAGCCATGGGAAAGAGCAAAACAGCTCTTATCACTGTAGCATGCCAGTCCCATGGGTATGCATAGCAGAGTGCAGACTGTCAGGAACTAATTAGCTACAGTGTGGAGCTCCTCAGATCAGACCATTCTGTGTCATTGACATCATTACTTGCAAATACTTGTAAAACCATATTGATGCTGAAGGCATCTTCAGTGATCCTGCAAGTTCCAAGGGATGTGCTTTATGGTGTCAGTTCTGCTGCATTCCTGACCTTTCTTCCCCTCATGGAGGGATTGGATTGGATACTAAATATATCAAATTGTCCAAAACTTTAAGGCTACCATGAAAGCAAGCAAAACTGCTTCAAACTGAAGCTTTCCTTAAGTGAAGCTTAAAGTGGAAAATACATTTTGATAACTCAGGACAGATTAGACCACCAAACTCATATAAATACTCCCAAATCAAGTGTTTCAGGGCTTTGCAATATACATTCATTATCCACAACAGAAATTTAAGCTGAAACACAGTTCCACAATCCAAGCTTTGTGCATAAGACAAACATGTAATCTCAGAATTTAGAATCTAAACATGCTCCTTTGTGAGAAAAGGATAAAAGGGAGATGGAGTGGTCTGGCCTGTTGCATAATGATATGATTTAATGATGACTTTGTCATCATTAAAACTTACAGAAAAATACATCAAGTGTGAAAGAATATAGTGCATAAAGAAAAGATACCATACTGGTAGTGAAAAATATTATTCTATAGAAAATATCAACCATATTAAGAGATTCTTTGTAAGTCCAGTGAAGATGAGGTTCTTTTCGGAAAATTGAGGTTCTTTAGGAAAATTGGTCCATCCATTAAACAGTCAGGGTTCTAATGAGCCAGTCTCTTGTTTGTAACCACAGATGAGTACAGAAAACCTACCTTCTACAAATACAGCTAAATAAACAGAGGCCCTATTGGCAGCAACCTCCTATACATCCATGAGAAGGTAATAAAGACCAACAGGAGGCATTGGAGCATAAATCTATGTCTGACTGTAGTTCAATAGTAATTTGTGCTGGCTGTTTTCCTTGACTTTCTTAAATAACATCATTAGATGTTTCTGGTTTTAAATCTGGTGCATTAAAAAAAAAAAAAGCAGATGTGGAAGCTAAATAATTCTGATTATATATTTGTATGCAAACAGTTTATCAGTGTGTTCTATATAATAACTTCCCACAAATTTTGAGATGTGGAAGAGAATCTGCCTTGCATAATCTTTTGCCTGTATTTCCTGCAAACTGTAACTGGTATTTCTTATTTTTATTTTTCCAAGAAATGTTGTAACTGAAATGCAAGGACAAATATGTCATTTGACCTGCATCAGCAGTTCAGATTCATGGTCTTGACATTCTAAAACGCTGCTTGTTTCAAAGCAAGAAGCCAGTCTGAGATGAGTAGTGAAGCAGGATTTTCTTCTTAATCTCAGGCAGCTAATACTTTGTTATGCCTTGAATATCTTTTTTTCCAGTTGTAGTTCACCTCTTCTGGAAAAAGGGGAGTGGGGAGGGAAGTTATTTCTGTTCAGGAACCAGCTCACATTTTTCAAGCCTGTCATTTTTTTCTCTGAGCCTATAGTGCATTTTAAAGAGGAACTCAGGTATTTTACTAAAAAAGAAATTTTCACCTTTGTTAAGAGCTAGACTGCCCTCTGGGAGAAATTAAGGCCTGACATCTTCATAAAAATGTTTCTGCAATGTAAGACAGGGTCTCTTTCATACGGGAAAGTGATGAAGTTTTTCCTTTACCAGCCAAGTTGCAAAAGTAAAAAGGTGGCAAGCATCCTTGCTTACCTCATCTCGGGGGGCATCCAGTCCTTTTCAGCTGACAAAACATAGTGGGAGGAACCCCATTCAACTGAGGAAAAGGGACTTACCTTCTCCTTTGAGTCTGTCACACTCCTGGTATCAAGCAGAGTTGTCAGAGGAGCAGATCATCCACAGCACTTGCTGGCTCCCTATAGATTTGAATGTCTCAGATCCCTTAAAATTTTTATCTTAAATTAACATTTGCTTTTACAGGCTAGGTGTTAAATAGCTTTGTCTAATATCAAGGACAGTCCTTGATGCTCCTGCACATTACAGAGAAGCCCTGTGAGTGCTGTGCAAAGGGTGTGGAGAACTGTGCCTTCCTGCTTTAGGGCTCATGAGAAGACATGAAGTATGTGGTTCTGCTCTTACTGCAGCAGGGTGGACAGAGGCATCCACCATCTGACAAGATCACACCTCTGCATTTTAACCCTAATACTGAGCCTGCAGAGGGACAGGTGATAACTGCCTTTCCATAAGGAAAGAATCCAGGCAGAATATCAGGCAAACATAAATGGAGAGAAATAGTTGTATTTTGTTATTAAGTCCTCACCAACTGGTGCTTTGAACTGGTTTGGCCAAAACTTCTGGGAGCAAGAGGTAGAAGTGCTTAATGGAATTTTTTTCTCTTGTTCCTCCCACCTTTTTTGATATAATCACCCTTGAGCGGTGCTCTCACTGGAATAGGTAACAAGAAGGGAAGTGAAACTTCGGTGCTACTATGTTCAAAATAAAATGAGAGATGGCCATCAAAGCACCTCAGCTGACAGGGAGAGCAGGGGAGCAGCCGCCTGGAATTAACACCAAGGACAAGAAAATTTCAGTATTTGCTGGAGACATGATCTTAGTTAGCTGGCTCCCAGGTGTCAGTTGTCTGCACACATCTTCCCAGGAGCAACTGAGATGAAAGGGGGAGAGGATGCCTTGAGAACACCAAGTAGCAGCAGCCGTGGTAGAAGTACAAGTAGAAAGTGTGCAAAACCAGGCCCCTTCTGCAGCCTTGTAACCCCAGAAAAACTGAAATAATAACCATTAAACCAAAGTTTGGAAACATTTTATGAGGGCAAATAATCTCTAAGTACAAAGAACTGCGGTTCTGAAAACCACACACATGTAAAACTGGTTTTATGTTTATAAGGGAAGGCAGAAACAGTTTCAAACAATATTTGTTTTGCACTTGGAAGATACAGAAATTAGTCTGCTGGTGGTGTTGTAATGTTTATGTGCTTCTGACTTGTGAGGATTTACCCATAAGCAGCAGGAAAAAGTGTGTTACATGAAGCAGCAGGTTGAGTAACTAAATCTAATGTGGTTTGGCCAACAAGGCCTGAAAATGACCCAATGGTCACTCACTGAGTGATCACAAAGTACACACACACGAGATCAGAAGAAGGGGTTGCTCGTGCTGTGGGCCAAACCTCAGCAGGCTGAGATAACACTCAGCTGTGGTCCCACAGAAGCTTTATTGAGTATTTGGATACAGGAGTCACCACTTGTCTGCAAGCAGAAAGATCAGATCATCGCCATGGCGATTTTTTCTATGACATAAGTTCTAGAGAACTGGGAAGAGTTGTTCTATTGCACCGAGAGATACATACCTTGTATTTCCAGAGGTCAGTTTTCAGTGGGAATATCAGCATTCCCTGTATAGGTTCTTTTTTACATTTTCAACTGCTGACTGTAATGAGGGCAGCTTTAACCATTCAATAGAGGTCCATCTTACTGCAACAGTAGTAGAGGTACCACTACTCTACCTAGGCAGAGGACTCTACCTCTAGGTACATAATAGACCTCTGCAATCAGAAGAGCTATATGGCTTGATCCAAGCTCTTATCATTCCAGCCTGCAAAAAGTAAGCCAAACCAAGATTTTATGCTGCAGTCCAGATAACCTGTTTCTGTTTGACTTGGGTCACATATAGACAAGTATTCAGATCTTTGCCCCAGAAACCTTTAGAACAACCTAGACCAATGTGTTTTTGAAGTAAAAAAAAATAAAAATAAAAATCTGGGCTTTCAACTAGGGTAGAAGAATACAAGAGATATGAACATACGGACAACACACTGTAGGTCAAACCCTTACCAGGCCAAATATTCCCATAACCCTACAATAATAATATTATTATAATTAAGGGCTAATTTAAGGAATGTACAGTATTTACAGACATTAAAACTAGACAGAAGATACTAAGAAGATACTAAAAGGGAGATTAGGACAAAGCTAGGAGGAGGTTTCTGGGCTCTTTCCTATTGTACTGAAGAGTGTGTTTGTTTCCTCTGATACCTCAGAGTAACAAATGCCATTCAGGGCCTACCTAGATGTTTTCTTGATAACAATCCCTGGAGAGAGGCTATCTCTAGTACAAAGCTAGAGAAGTTCTATCATCTTGTTCCACTCAAAGTCTACGGCATCTGATAAAGGAAGCCCATAGCAGCTGATGGGCCTGTCTCCCAGCTTAGCAGGAGTCAATAATGCTCTGTTCCCATGGATGTGGGAATTAGTCAAAAGCAGTTGTTTTGGATTACATGAATGAATCTCAGGAGCATGGAGTGCTTTCTGTAACATCAGAATAAGTCAAATTCAGTCCTCAGGCCAGTTCACTTCAGTTCAGGTATGAGCTGAGACCAACTAATGTCCGTTCCTAAATTTTCATCCTCAAGACCAGGAAAGCTTATATCTAGAAGGATTTTGCTGAGACTCATACAGTCATTCATGGTGTCCAGGATAAGGCCCTCCATGAGTGACCGGTTTTCAGTAAAGCCAGAGGTTGTCAGCTCAGCAGAGGATTGCTTGGAAGTGTCATGAACTAAAGCTGGAGAGCTCGTGAGGGGCATATGGACCATGTCACTGGATTCTGTATTGAGCAGTTCTTGAGGAGAATCAAAGAGAGGATTTTTAAGGGGTGTGCTGTTAAAACCCAGCAAGTCCTGGTTGTCCTGGAGAGGTGTGAATGGCAACTGAAGAGTTTTCACTGGACTGAAGTCCAGCTCATGACTTCCCTTGGCTAAGGAAGCAGACTTCCAGTGGTCAAGAACCTCTAGTGAAGGGGTAGTAGTGGCTGAGGCTTTGCTGGGAGTGGAAGAAATGGGCAATTTGCTGAAGACGTCCTTGACTGGTGTTTTAAAGGCCCCTTCTTCTCCCTGTGAGCAGCTGAGCTGTGAAATGTTCTCAAGGGGATGGTTTTCCTGGGGGAAGGGATGGTCTGCCCCTAACTGGAAAGGGTCAAAGCTGCTGCTTTCTGGCAAAACAAGGACAGGCTCTTCTGAACAAGGCAGTGCTAGGCGTTGTTTCCTTCTGGATCTGCCCACTTCCCGCCTTTCCCTCCTCTTTATAACTAAAGAGTCAGAAACTGCCTTAGATGGGGACTTCAGTGTGGTGAACTGTTTCCTCTCCTTTGTGGATGAGTCTGGGAGGAACAAGCTTGGCTCTTCCTTGACCGTTATGGTTGAGGCAAATGGGGATAGCCAGGGATCCAGCTGAGAGCCTTCTTCCTCCTTTTTACAGGCACTCTCAGGGAAAGAAGACAATTCCTCACCAGGCTGGGAGCTGTTCTCCTGTACAGAATGGGTTGGGGAAAATAAACCTTCATCACATTGACCCTCCTCCTTGACAGCAGCCGTGGGTAAAGAGGGTGACTCTTCTGAAGACAGTGACACCTACAATGAAACACAGGTGACATGCAGTCGGTAAGCATGGATCTAAGCTACCCAAAAATCCAAGTAACAGGGAAAAGAAAAGAAAGATTGGCATTTAAGGTCAGCAGACAGGGTAAGAAGATATTCAGGAAGCAGTAATTATAACTGAGACTGATCTCTGTGAATTTGATAGAAAGAAGCCTAAGGATCACATGGGAAGGATTCTAGCTAAGTGACTGAAAGTCATGCCCTTCAGAGCACTCCTGCTCTGAGAAACTTCTGGGAGTATAGGCAGAAGGAGAGTTGAATATTTCTGGAAAAAAATATAACCCCTTTGATTTTTTCTTACATTATCTAAATGGGAATAACAAAATGAATGAGGACAGCTTTCCCAGAAACCACGGAAAAGGAAGAGGAAGAAAATGAGGTTATCAAAAGAAAAAGAGCACAGGAGAAAGATAAATCATAGCTGGAGAGAACATAAAGCACCAGGCATACAAAGGAAAATAGGATTATGGTTAGACAGGATGGAAGAAGCTAAAGCTTCACAATGTCTAAGCATACAAGAGCAGTCAGTGAGATGCCAAGAAAAAGATCTGTTTAATAGCTGTTTTTCTTGAACATTCACAGAGTAACTGTGAACTTCACAGAATTAGCAAACAGCAGATACGGAAATCCTCTGGGAAGAGACTACATGAAAGCTATACTCTTTTGGAAGTTCCTTATTGTTGTCTATAGAGCTATCAAAAATATGAATGTTTTAGGATCAGAACAAAGCCATTCCTCCCATTCTTCTTTCCTCACATCCCAGCAGTAAAGAAAAATTGTCTTAACCAAGCCAAAGAGTCCCTTCCTCTAGTGAATTATAGAAACATCCTTGGAGCAAATAAATTAGGAGGTAGTAGTCAGGCTAGAGACAGTAAAGGATAGCAAGGATTATCACTGGCTAGTTCCTTGATAGGAGCTTGGAGTTTTAGAGCACCTAGTAAAGATGCACAAAGGAACCATGTGAAGAAAATGTTCATTGAAGGCAAGAGATATAGAAAGAAAAAGTAAACAAAAAATCCAAACAAACACACCCCTCCTTAAAAAAATCCCCACACCCTCCCTAGCGCCCTCCTTGTCCCTCTTAAAAAAATAAAAATAAAAGAGAACCACACTAACCCCCTCAAAACTCCTCGGAGAACAAGAAACCAACCTTTGGAGCAATGCACACACGCTTATTGCTCTGCAAAGTCTCAGAGCTGTTAAGGGATGCTCCCTGTGCCATGGACAGAGGAACCTTCATGGAAGGCTGCAAGACAAGAGGCTGACTCAAAGGAAACTGGATTGGAACCAGGTAGGAGTTGACACGAGGAAGCAAAGGCTTCATCTTTCGGCCTGAAAGGGAAAAGAAGGGACTCACTTTTCCCTGTTCTCCACTGCTACCTCAAGAAGCCCAGACACCTTACAGAAAGTCTTTCTAGACACCCTGAAAGAAACATTTGATCAGATCCCTTACCTTCTCTGCTAATTTTAAGGATACAAATACCAAGCCAGAAGCCTCATGAACAAGAAAATAACCTTTCATGTAGACCCTACCCCTCCAGCTGGGGCTCTCACTCCATTTAAGAGCCCAACACCCACCATCTCACCATCACATCCTTAGACACAATAACACTGCTTTCTATTTCAAACCTAACAGTAAGGAGCATAAAAGCTGGAAAACCAGGATAACACACTCCATTTGTATATCTAAAGAAATCTGGGGGAGAGCCCCAGATTTATTGGATTGATTCTCTTTGGCCTAGACTGATGTGGACACTTACGTGAATTCTGGGGTTCAGTTTTGCTTCCCATGTTCTTCAGAGGGTCTGGAAGACGACTCTTTTGTTGCTGCAGTCATTGTGAAATAAGTAAGAGGACATGGAGAAAAGAGAGAGATTAAAAGAAAAGAATTCACATTTATTCTGCTGCCTCACTGAGAGCTGTCACCAGAGGTCTGAGCTGCACTAATGCAGAGAAAGCAGCTGTTAGCACCCAGCACTCAGACCGGCTCTAGGTCTGTGCCACTTGCTGGTTTGCAGCCATGCCATCCCAAAGCCAGCTGCCCACCAAAGGCTGTGTAGGAAAAGAGACAACATGACAGAACTGCTCCAGCTACAGACTCTACTGCAGAAGTGAGCTGGTTTTGGCACCCCCAGTGCCTGAGGAACAATGAATAGGATAGCTTTATTGTATACTGGAGGTCTGTACAAACCATAGACCAGATAGGTGTTCAAATGGAATAGCAGAGGCCACAACGGGATCAGAATTCTGAGCAGATGGAAAGAAGGCCAAGGTTGTAACTGTGACAGAAAAGTGTTTGACTGGATACTTGCAAATCCATCACTGTTAAAACTGCTGAATGCAAGAGCAACAGCAAACAGGTTGATCCTTCCAGGAGTCACAATGCAGTGGCTTCCAAAAAGAAAAAAGGAGCACAGAGAGATCCTATTCTTTCTGGATCTGAACACCAAAACATATGGGAACTGTTGCCATGGAGATGATTTTACCAGAAATCTGTCCGGGCTTGTTCTCTGAAGCCTATTGGTGTCCATTGCAGCCTACTTCAGCAGTAGACTTCCAGGTTGCTCAAAACTGTCCAGCCTTACCAGCTAGAGAGAGACTGTACCATCTGAAGACAGACAATCTTTGGCTAGACCCCTCTCCCCACAAAGGGTGTGCATGGAGTTGTATGAGTAGATGCAGCACTGGCCCAGTCCCCCTCCCCAAGCTTGTTGTCCTTTCCTTCAGTGACTGGCAAGAAGAGAATGGAAGATCAAGCCCCGAGCCAGATGGTAATTCTTACTGATTCAGAATACTCAGGCGATGTTGGTGACCCCAAGTCCAGCGGCTGGTGGCAGAAGGCATTGAGCAGAAAAAAAATTAAGATGAAGTTATCAACCAAAGAGGGAGACAAATGGGACATTTTAAACTTGTACAATCTGAGCAAACTAAAGTTAATTCTACCCACCCACTGCATAAAACACAAGAGTCTAAACATACCTATATCGGATTCCCAAGCTCTATTTCCCTGACAAAATCTTCCTAAAATACCTAGTTGGGCTAGGAGAATTCTATCCTATGCCTGACTTATCAAACAGCGTAGGAACACCTGGTTGGCCTCAGTGGAAGTCTTCTTGTTAGGAATTTGAATAAGGCCCATGGGAAGAAGTTGAACAACCTGACTTATATTTGGCACAGCACATGAAGAATAAACACTTCCCATGAAGCTCCAGGTCAAAAGCACAGCCACAGCACCTTTTCTTTCAAATGCAGAGTTTATCTATTTGCCAAGTGAAGTGACTGACTCCAGCTTCTATAAAGAGGCTGATGTCAAAGCAGCTTGACCTTACCATTAAAATAAGGTGCATCAGTCTAGTGTGGCATTGAGAAACTGCATAGCCTGTCCTTGTTGGGAAGGTAGAATTAGAAAGAAATTGTAAATATGACTTTGTAGCCAGAAAGGCTAAGGAAGAAATACAAATGATAGCACAGTTTGAATAATTCAAGGAAACCGGGCTAGTATGCCAGAACACATTCTTTCCTGCAATAAAACCAAGCTGAGACCCCTCTTCCTAGCCTTATAAGGAAAGGTCTGAAGGACCCTGAGATAACTAAAAATATGCAAAAATAGCGATTTCTATAGGTTGCACACAAAGGTTACTGTATTAGTATACTTAGAAAGATTGGTCAGTGAAAAAATAGAATATTCAAATGTATAGGTTATATCAGTAATTGTAAAAGAGAGTTCTCTCTCTTGGTTCTCCTAACTCCTAGTCTCTCTTACTACACTCTCTTGTTTCTCTTAGTTCTCTTTGTCTCTCTTGTTTCTCTTGGTCTCTCAGTCTCTCTTAGCCCTCTTGCCTCACGCTTTCTGCACTCTTGACTCTCTTGCTACTCTTTTTTTTTTCCCAGCTCTCTCACTTCTGTTCTGTTCTATTAATCTCTTTCGTAGCAATCTTAAGTCTTGAGCTTATGTATTCATATTTTACTCCCTTTTGTTTTGTTCTCTCTGAACCCGCTTTGAGCTCTATCTGATGGCTCATAGCAGGCTCCCTCTCTCTCTATCCCACGCCCTGAAATAAACTTCTAACACCTAACTCAATTATAGAGGTCTTTGCCGTGTCTCTGACCGTCCCCGGAAAGCGTCTCCTACATGTCCTATTTTCTTTGCACGAGGCAACTCACCTTAAATACCTGGTCCAATGTCAGGCAACGGTTTGCACCGGGGTGAATAGTCCAGAAGGAGATTTTACCATTGGCAGACGTCTCACGGACAAACATGTCATGAAGGGACAGGTTGTGCCGAATGGAGTTCTGGGGAGAAAGGAGCGAGGGAGAGGTTGAAAAGCAGTGGTTTTGTTATCAGCACAGCAAGGCCTACCTCAAACATGGCTGCCCTAGCAGAGGGATTACATTCCAAAGTGCAGACAACATTGAACTTTCATATTCACAGCATACCCAGCCAATTGGACTCAAGACTGATGACCCTGTCATCAGTCTTTATTTTATGTACTCTTGAGATCCCTATTCTCACTCCAGTGATTAAACATCCCATCATCTTGTTTAAGTAGGATGAGGCAAGGGATACAAGAAGTGGTACAGTGAACATCTGGAATGAGTGTATTTGGGGCAGAATGTTTAAACGAGCTTCCATCTTGCTTTGCAGGCTGGGGAACAACTTTTCATTTTGATCCAGAAGGCATGTAACATCACCCAGAGCAACTTGAGGGCCTTCTTGTTACCTTCCAACCTGGCTTAGCTACATGTTTAAAATAAGGGAAATGATCCTCAATCCAGGTATAGATGTCCTTCAGGGTCATGCGCTTCTTCTCTGTGCTGTTGATGGCAAACTGGATCATGGCCATATAGGAGTAAGGAGGTCGTTCTGACACTGAATCCTGCCATGAGGAGGACACAGCAGCAGTAGGAATAGCAGCAGCAGCAGCAGCTTCCTCTTCAGTCTGAAAGACAGAAGGAGTGATACATGAACATTCATAAAGCCGACAAGAAAGCCCATAGAACATCCCTGGATCCTCTGGGTTCTGCTATTCATATCAGTAAAGGTCAAACTCAGGTTTCTTAGGGACAGTGATGCCTAATTCTTGCAAGTCCTCTGATCCACGTAGATTACTTCCTTATGAAAAGTTTTAGCACACACTCTTGTATTCTCAGACTTACCTTGACTCTTTCCCGCAGAGGCATCTGATTCTCTTTCTCTGTGTCTTCCTTCACAGAAGAGGGATTTAGCCCATCGGATCTCATCTTCCCCAGCCACTGGATGTTGGTGAGGCTGTTGTCCAACACAGAGCTCATTGTCTCACCACTGCCTGTTGGGATAACAAGCCCCCATAATAATCACAGAAACATTTAAGTTAAAGAAGTCCTCCAAGACAAGAGTCCAACCTGTGACCAAACACCACCTTATCAACAACATCGTGGCACTGACTGCAGTATACAGTTATTTCTTGAACATCTCTAGGGATGGTGACTCCAAACCTCCCTGGGCAGTCTGTTCCAAAGCTTGACAACCTTTTTAGGGAAGAAATTCTTCATGGTGTCCAATCTGAACTCTCCTTAGCACAGCTTGAGGCTATGCCCTTTTGTCCTGTCATTTGTTGCCTAGGAGAAGGCAACGCTCACTACTCTGCAGCCTCCTTTCAGGCAGTCATAGAGAGCGATAAGATCCCCCTGAGCCTCCTTTTTCCCAGGGCTGAACACCCCCAGCTCCCTCAGCTCTTCGTCATCAGACTTGTGCTCCAGACCCTTCACCAGCTCCGTTGTCCTTCTCTGGACTCACTCCAGCACCTCAATGTCTTTTCTGTCATGAGTGGCCCAAAACTGAAAAAAGAACTCAAGATGTGGCCTCACCAGTGCCGAGTACAGGTGGACAATCTCTACCCTGGTCCTACGGCACACATTATTGCTGATACAGACCAAGATGCCATTGGCCTTCTTGGCCACCTGGGCACAACTGGCTCATGTTCAGCTGCTGTTGACCAGCACCCCCAGGTCCTTTTCTGCTGGGCAGTTTTCCAGACACTCCTCCCCTAGCTTGTAGCACTGCCTGGGGTTGTTGCAATGCAACTGTGAAACCTGATACCTGGTCTTACTGAACTTCACACAACTGGCCTTAGCCCATGGATCCAGCCGTCCAGATGCCCCTGCAGAGCCCTCCTGCCCTCCAGCAGATCCACACTACCACCCAGCTTGGTATCATCTGTGAACTTTCGAGGATGTCCTTGATCCCCTCATCCAAATCATTGATATAGACAGTAAACAGGACAGGCACCAGCCCTGAGCCCTGGGGAACCCCACTAGTGACTGGTCACCAACTAGATGCAGCACTGTTCAGCACCTCTCTCTGGGCCCAGCCATCCAGTCTACTTTAACATGGTGAAGAGTGAACCTGACCAAGCTATGGGCTGCCAGCTTTTCCAGAATAATGCTGTGGGAGACAATGCCAAAGGCTTTACTGAAACCCAGATAGGCTACAAACACAGCCCTCCCCTCATTGTAACTCTGCTTTCTCACAAGTAACCCAGCTACCCCTTCATCTCAGCTGTCAAAAGGAAGGCAGCAGTCACACTTCTAAAATATGGTATTACAACACTAAGATTATGGAAGGAATTCACCTTGAATTCCTGATTTCATGTGTAGTTGCCCAGTTTCTGAAAAGACCTGCAGCCTTAAAAACAAACACTCAAACCAGACTATTGCTGCCAACCAAAACAGGACAATGTTGATCTAGTACTTCAAGAAATAGAAAGACTTAGCAAAAAACCCAAGTCAGAAGCTCAGACGTCTTCCATCAAAAAGATATGTCCACTATATTCCTTCAGATTTCACTACATATGCAAAGCTATGTAGATTATTAGAATCAAATCCATAGGTATTTTGTCATTAACAAAAAATTAATAATTACTGCATACCAAGATGCAAAGGCTGCACTCCTTGGCCCATTTCACATCTCTTTGTCTGTCAGGACAAAAAAAAACCAACAAAAAAACAGGTAAAAGCTACATACTGTTGGTCTCCTGTTCCTGTCGAACCACAGGATCAACTCCTGAATGCCAGAGTGTTGTAGTGCCTGCAAGACCAGGTGCCTGTGCAACATTCTTCTCTCTTTCTTGACTGTCTGCAGTCTTGATGGCTGCACTGGCTTTCTTCTCTGATGGGAGATGCTGTGATGGTGCTGGACCTGCTGAACGGGATGTGCCCCCACTGCTAATGAGAATGAACTTGTTGGGTCCATTTTTGCCACACTCTTTTCCTTTTGCTGTCAATGCCTCTATGATGCTCTGGATATCAGCATTTGTAGGGATGGCCACCACCTGTGTGTTGGGCATTGTAGGATGGTCAATTATCTTTATTCCCGCTGGGAATTTCTGCAGGCCACAGTCCCTTTTGTCTCTGGGTTGTCTGTTGTGTTGGTCTTCCCGCCTCTGCTCCTGCTTAGGAGCCTTTTCATCCTGACCTCTATTCTCATCTCTTGCTGAAGTACTGGATTCATCGTTCTGTGGGAGGGTCAGTTTCCGTCTTTTGAGAATTAAGGGCCTGCGAGGGCTGGTCCTCATTATTGATCTATAATGTCACTCTCCATTGAAAGGGAGAGGAACAAATCCTGCAAAACAAAAGGTACAACATAAAGGGTGCAACAAATCATCTCAAGACCTCCCACAGAGCACACATTCTCATCAGTTGCTACAAAGCTAGAAACACAAAAAGCAAATAAAATTGAAAGCATTTAATAAGGCTGACAAGGCTACTGAAAAATCATAGTGTACCTCCTTAACCCACACTTTGTGTAAGCAGGATGGGAGAGAGATTTGCACAATAGATAACTTCCATCATGAAGTACATAATAATGAGCAAAATGTATATGTGCTTTACAGAAAGACTTAGCTATGATGTGACTTGACAAGCATCAGCCAGCAAGCTGGAGGGAAGGTAGAACATAGAAAGATCAGTGCTGATTCTTATGGCTGATGGCTCTAAGGAGCAGATTACAGAACCGGCATGAAAAGGGAATTTACAGGTGGTTTAAGATCTGGGAAGCAGAGATTATCCTGAACACTAAAAAGGCACAAAATAAATGCAGCAGAAGGTGCTTTAAGACAGACACCAAGTAAATGTGCTGCTCATTCCTATTGTAGATTTGTCAAGAACCAGGTAAATTCATCATTGGGCAGCATACAATTTAGATGTCAAACTTTTGGACAACAGGTGGTTTTAACTATAAAGCTGGAAGCAGAGGAAATAAAATTCAGAGATACTGCTTGCAGGGTAAGATGCTGTGAAAATATACCTAATAATGCCATCAAGGCTTCGCTGCAGCCTACGTCTTTCTATGAACTCTACTGGAACAATATGCAAATTGTATTTATTGTTTATCATTAGAGATGGCAAGCAGAATAGAAATAAATACCAATAATAAAGAGGCCTTTTGCATTGCTGGATTTGACGGCGTTAGCAAGTAAACGAGAAAAGTTTCAGTAGGAATCCCCTACATTGATGCAAACCAGAGTCCAGCAGATAACAAGCTGATACCCTACGTTCAGGGAGCAGACAGCCCTGCGATCATTCCACGCGGGTTCTGGCAGCGGGCACAAGCATGGCCCTTGGCGATCTGCTCCACCCCGTTAAGGAGAGATCCCGGTAGGACAGCACCAAAAGAAGAGCCCTGAGCCAGCCTCCCATAGGCTGCGTTCCTTGCAGGAGCGCGTCACTTCCCAGGGAGGCTTCCAACTGCTACCCCCGGTACAGGCCCGGGGGCATCGCCGCGTACCTGCAGCCCCGAGGGGGCAAGGAGAGCAGCGCCAAAGCGCTCCCAGCTCCTTCTTCACCCACTCCAGCCGCTGCGCCGCCGCCCTCGCCAGCAAGCTCACCTGCTCCCGCGGGGCCCTCCGCCCCGGGCCGGGCCTAGGCGCTGCCCTCTCCCGGCCGCCAGGAGGCCTTAGCGCTGCCCTCCGGAGGGTACCGACCCCCGCCCGAGGCCCTGGAGTACCGCGGCGGGCGCAGGTCGCGGCTCAGCAGCTGCCCGGCCGGGCAGGGCCGACGCGCCCGGAGCGGCCCCGGTTTGAATTTGGCGCCCTGAGCAGCCTGGCCCGGTCACGTGCCGGCCTGCGCCAGTGAGCTGCGGCGGGGGCGGGGCCTGCCGGGCCGGGCCAATCGGCGCGCAGGGGGCGGAGCCACGGCGGGTCGGACAAATCGGCGGCGGCCGCGGGGGATACGGATGTGCGGGCGGGACGGAGTCCGCGCCGCTCCCGGCTCGTGTTGTCCCTGTCCTGGGACAGCCGCTCCCGCCCCGGCTGGGGCAGCGCCGACAGCTCCCTTCAACCATGCTGCCCGCGACTGGGAGTCCTGCAGTGCGCCCGGGCCGCCGGCATTACGCTGACTCCGGGTGAAGAGCTACCGAATTTTACCGTTTAACGTGTGTGTCACGGCTGCACCGGGCTAGGGGGGCCCGCAGGACTCCCTGAGCACGCCGCCACCTAGGTAAGCAGTCTTACTGCAGCCTGACTGCTGTTGCAGTCTCATACAGTTCTCACGAAATGTTATTAAATTTCCTTGTCTGTGCTGATCTGTGATAAGTCAGGCTAGGTCAACATGAGCCAGCAGTGTCTAGGTGGCCAAGAAGGCAAATGGCACCTGGCCTGTATCAGCAACGGTGTGGCCAGCAGGACAAGAGCGGTGATTGTCCCCCTGTGCTCGGCACTGCTGAGGCCACATCTCAAGTGCTGTGTCCTGTTCCGGGCCTTTCACTTCAGGAAGGACACGAGGTCCTGGAGTGGGTCCAGAGTAGGACAGCAGAGCTGGTCTGGAGCACAAGTGCTATGAGGAGTGGCTCAGGGAGCTGGGGTTGTGCAGCCTGGAGAACAGGAGGCTGAGGGGAAACCTTGCTCTCTATAACTGCTTTAAAGGAGGGTATAGCCAGGAGGAGGCTGGCCTTTTCTCTCAGGCACCTAGTGATGGAAAAAGGTGATTGTCTTAAACTGCACCAGGGGAGGTTTAGGTTGGGCATTAGGAAGAATTTCTTCACAGGAAGGATGATTAGACATTGGAATGGGCTACCCGGGGAAGTGGCGTCACTGTCCCTGAAGGTCTTTAAAGAAATACTTGATACATGACACTTAGTGCCATGGTCTAGTTGCCGTGGTGGTGTTTGGACAGGTTGGATTTGATGACCTCAGAGGTCTTCCAGCCCAATTGATTCTGTGATCTGTTTTCCAACGGAAACTTAAATACAATGTTACTTCAGTTCAAACTTATTCATTAGGTAAAACAAACAAACAAATCATACAAGATCTGTAGAATACAGGAGGAAGATGTCAACTCTGTTCTGTAAAAAAGAAAAATAACAAAATCTCTTGAAATTAAAACAAATGTTACTTTCTAGGCAACTAGAAAGGGAAAGATTTCTGATTATCTTGGCTCTACAGTATCTTCTTGATATTATAAACCAGACTGAATTGAAAAAAAGAAAATAAGGTTTTTTTTATTTTTTTTTTCTTTTGATAGCCGACTTCATATAGCTGGATCAGTAGGTCATTGCTCCCATTCCTGCAGTGCATTTTTAAATCTACCTGAAAATTGACAAAAGGTTCAAGAACTGCTGTGGGGGAAAAAGCCTGCCTCAAGATGTGTACACTGGGCTGTTGCATAAATGTTTTGCTTTTGTGGAAAACTACATCTGATGTTTCCAAATAAGTCTGTCTTCAAATCCATTTATTTGCCTTCTACAGATTCAAGAGCACTTTAGCATCTCCTCAGGGTGCTTCCCTCTTTCTTCAATTGGCTCCAACAAACATCATGAGGTTTCTAAGTAGTTTTACCACACCTTTTGATGCCTCCGAAGAAGAAGTGTACCCACAAGGCCAGGAAGGCAGAGCTGATTTTCCTTGAGAGGCCAAGGGCAGGACCCATCCATTGTTATGAAACTCCACTGCATTTGGCTGAGAATCCCAGACATGTGCCTACAAAACCTGTGGACCAGGACACTTCTGCTGCCTGGGTTGGTATAAATTGTTTTCCTCCTGCATCCCACAGCAAGAATTTTTAAGTTTCTCCTGTATGTCTTAACAGAAAGTTATCTGTTCTGGATATGGAAAATTAGTAGCCTAGACCTGAATTCCCTCTATCACTCTAAAGCATAATTAAATGCTTGAGTTGCTTCACATTCTAAGAATAAGCAGTAAAGTCTTGGTTACTTGAAGACATAAACTGTGTGCAGTCTGTACTGATTAATGAATATGTATCTTCTAGAAAAATAATTCCCATCAGGAAAACACTGTTCTCCTTGGCAACTGAAAACCCTGCACATAATAAACATTAGGGGAGATTTTTCTTATCGGCTTGCTGTTTGAACTGCTGAACTCTACAATTAACATGTTAAAGTACTGGATGCATTGTTTAAATCTAACACTGCTAAATTTAGAGAACATAGGTTTTCACTTCAAAACAATTTGTTCTAACCTGCCTTCTTTTCCACTTCTGTGTTTTGAAAAGTTTCTCTCCATACCAATCTTCTGATGGGTTCCTTTTCTTGGGACTGTTTGCAGTGTCCTAAAATACTCCTTATATAGTCTAATGTAAAGATTTATTTTTTTTTTTAAGCAAACGGCTGCCGCAAAGACAGACTGTTCCTATACAACAGTGGTCATCACCTAGGGGAGCTCTGTTTAAACATTATTGCTGCTTGACTCTGCTCTTCACAAAGCAAGCTCAGGAAGTGTGGTTTCAAACCTGCATGAAATATTCCTTTGTTCCTGTTGACCTGCAGGTATTTTTGTGATGCCTTAACCTTGAAGTAGAACATATTCAATTTTTTCCTCTTTAATTTTTTTTTTGTATCTGCTTGAGGCAGTTTGCTCTATGGTTTCTGAATCACTGAGTAAAACAACTGCTGTGAATAAGCATTCATTTTGTTTGGAAGAGGTGGAAACATCCACACCAGTAGCTCTTTGATTCCAAAAATACAATGCTTCTTAAATTTGTTTGAAGCTATCAGCACTGAAACTGCACGATATTTTTAATTTTGGAAATTGTTGTAGGTTTGTAACTTCTGGAGGCATCCTCTGCAGAGTGTCTCTCAACTTGTTTCAATGGAAACTGATTTTCTGCTCTTCTCTTTTTGGAATTATCTAAGATTTTCATACCTTTTCCATTGCTAGGTTCCTGCATAGATAAAAATTATCCTAGATGTTCTCTGAAGGCAGGAAGCTATACTCTTAAAATCAGGAACTATGTTAAGTATGTGCTAATATGCAGTTGTTACAGAATCACTCCTCTTTTCCTGCACAAAGGCTTTGGATTCAAGCAGTTCATGTATACATCAGAAAAATGCTATCCTTAGTTAAATATCTCTCAGTGTTTTGAGGAACTATATAACTTAGGAATGCTGAAGGAGATCTGTAGCTACTGTAGCAAGAACTCAGTTTGGTGTGCTCTTGGGAAAAGCAAACTGGAATCTGAATCTTTTGTTGAAAACCAGGAAGACAAAGAACACTGTAATAAAAGGATTTCCAGGGTTTGAGTATGAGTCCAGAATTATTCAAAGAAATACAGATTGTTGAGCTTGGACCATCTCTTCTATGGAAAGCTGATTGTAGAAGTGGATCTTGGGTGATCTGTTACGCCACAATACAGAAATTAACTATGTTTTGGGGGAAGACTTTGAACACCCTATTAACATAATCTAAGGGGATTGAGCTAAATGGGAATTCTTTAATTATTTTGTGTTGCTCTCCTGGTTCAGCCTCTACTTCTTCAGGAAGTCTGAGGATTTGGTTCTTTGAATCTATTTGAGTTATGCTAAGACAGAGAAGGAAAAAGGATCCATTCTGAACTTTCTTAAATCTGCAGGGGTTACAGGAGTAGACATCACTTAGATTTCCTTTAAAAGCTGTATCTTGAGTTCTTTGTGAGTTGCCGGAGAACAGCTCACTTGCACCCCAGTGACATTGCAGAGAAGGGTGGCTGAACGTCATGTTGAAGTTCAGATGTATCTCATGCATAGTAACTTTGTTAGTGACTCACTTGCTTCACTGAAAAACAGACCATTCAATGAACACACTGAAAAAAGGTGGGGAAGTAGAATCAGGCAGGCATTACTTGTCTGGAGAAAAGGGTTGGGTTTTTATATTATTATTATGTCTTTCCCTTCAGGTGTGCCCACAGTTTGACACAGCTAAGTCAGTGGTGTTGAAAGCACGCCAGAAAAAGCATCGTGGTCCTCACAAGCCCTATCATCAGGATGCCAAACACAGTTCATTTCATGCAGGAGGAGCTTGTCGAGGAGCTGTAGCCTGCAGATTTCCTCCTTTAACTTTTGAGACTCCAGAAGGACATACAGTCCCTCCACTGGATCATCCAAATCGCTTGAGAAAGAATGCAGAATGCTCTCACAACCAGCCTAAGAAAGGGACAGCAGCAAACGCCAACATCCAGGTGAAGCATCCAGAGAACTGTGGAGAGCCTCCTCCCCAGCCTGTGGAGCAAGAAGTCCTTAGACCTCCAGATGCAGAGGCTGCACAGGTTTCTTCCCCAAGGAATGGGAGATGCAGCAACACTCTAGCACAAATTGGTCATGTCTGGCATCCAGAAAAAGAGCTGGCATTTGGTACTGATCCCTGTGGGAGAGGGGAGGTGGCAGCAGTGCTGGTTACAGATACTCCCGAGCACGAGTATGGAGTGAAGGTCACCTGGAGACGGCGGCCTCGCATAATGAAGTACCTGCGGGAGCAAGGGAAGCTGAGCGCTGCGGACATCCTGGTGAAGGCAGACATGGAGCTCTCGAGGAGACAGACCCACACCTGACCGGGCGGGAGCAGCCACTCTGCTGCGTGAAGGACACGCCTGAACAGACGATGTCGCTTCGGGGACTGAAAAGGGGACGTGATTTCAGCCAGGCCCTCTACTGCGCCTGGCAGAGCCCCCGAGAAACACCCGGGCGGGGCGCGGGAGAGGGTCTTGGCGACAGGGGTGGGTCTTTTGGGGAGGTCTTCCCTGGGGAAGTGTGTATGGAAAGGACTTTAGGCGGTTGCCGCCGGGGCCGTTCTCCGCTCCCGGCTCAGGCACCTCCCGTGGCGCGGAACGGGGGACGGCCGTTGTGTTCCGCCGCGCGTGCGCGGCGCCGCGGCCAATCGGCGGGCGGCGTGCTCGCGGCCCCGGCCAATGGCGGCGCGCCTCAGTGCCGCGCGCCGTTGCTAAGGGCAGCGGCGGGCGGGGGCCCATAGCAACGGCGGGGCCGCGATGGACGGAGCGGGGGAAGCGGGCGGTCCCGCCGCTCACAGGTGAGCGGGGCTTGGGGCGGCGGCGCCGGCGTCCCCGGGACCTCACAGGCCTGGGCAGGGGCTGCCTCGCCTGGCAGCAGCCCCCGATGCCGGGATGAGCGGCCGCAGCGGGGCCCGGGCGGGCGGAGCCGCACAGCAGCGGCCACGCGGATCGGCGCTGCCTCGGTGACACTCGCGTCCCTCCGGCGGGCGATAGCCGTGCCGCTGTTTTATGTGCGAGTGCGTTTTATGTGCTTCACTCTCCAACGTTGGTGTGCATCATCTGAATACTTGTAGATTAAACGCTTTTGTGGTGTCTCGGTCCATTCTTGGTTTCTAGGCGCCGCTGTGAAGCGTCTTCGCGGTGTTATCCAGCCCCTCTGCTCCTCCTAATGAAGCTCTCTAGGTATTTAGTATCACTCTCGGTGTGCCTTTGCAAGAAAAAAAATGGAGGAATAACTGAAATGAACTCAACTGATGTAATAGGAAAAACAGCTGTGAACTATGGAGAAGCGGTTTTGGAAAGACTTTATGCTTGTAGTATTTAAGTATCTCAAAATTGAGATTATTTGAAATTGAATGTGGGTATACCAGCACGCAGAGAAAACGGGTTTTGATAGAATTGGTATGATTGCAAAAAACCCAGGAAAGTCTATCTTTGTGCCTCTGGTTGGTTAGGAAGAAGCAAAGCAATTAAAGAGAGAAACCGAAACTTTGGGTAGTTAAATGGTAATGAACACAGTGTAGAAGAGAAACAGTATTTTTTATTACATACATTGTTACACTTGGTAATTGAAGAAGGATGAAAAGCAACAATAGAGTTAGAAAGGGTCCTGTAATTGCATGGGTCCACCAAATATGCTATGGAACATTAGATTACTTCTTTATGCAGACTTGAAAGGCCTCAGGTTGTCTAGCAGTTCTGGAAAGAATTTTTAAGGAAACGGTGTCCAGATATGTGTAAATTTTCCTGTACACATAAATTTCCCTTTCAAGTTTGACAGAGTTGATGCTATAGGAAATGCTGCTTTTCTGATAACTTCTACTGGCATAATTTCTTTTTAGTAAGAAACTTGTCTTGTGTACTTTTATGGGTGCTCCACAGAAACAGGCTAACAATTAATGGCAGTTCATGGGATAGCTGCTTCCCTCCAATCCCAGTTTATTAAAGAAACATCGATTTTTTTAGCTTTCTCAGTCCCCATGGTTAAGGTAAGAAAACTAGAATATGTGAACCTAAAGTACATAGTTTTAAAGTAGATCTGTAAGGCTTGTTTTTAGGGATCTGACTCTGAAGTTGGAGTGTTCATCAGCATTGTAATAAATTCGAGGAAGACAAATGTCTGTATTCTTGGGAAGGTTCTTTTTCTGAGAGGAAAATAGTAAAAGTATCCAGAAGTCACAATTCTGTTACTAGAACTTGCTTGGTAAAATAATTGTCAGTTGTCCAAACTGTAGATTTTATAGAAAAGGTAAATGTGATACATAGAAACTAGCACTTCTTGGCAATGAAGATACTACAGGTAAAGCTTAACAAAGCTATACCTGAGAACTGCTTGGCATCATTTTTTGTATTTTTTTTTTGGCTGTTTTTTTTCCCCCAGGGTGGAATGCCTTTACTATTGAGCAATGTGAAAAATGCCCGTAAAGATATTGGAAGTATTTTATTTCTGATGGGTAGAGTTGAATATTATCAGTCAAAAATTAATGCATATTGTTTTGTAAGTGTGCTGTGGGATACATGATGATGGATAGACAGCAGAGATCTTGGATTTAGGCCATCTACAGGCTGTCACTTGCAAATACTTTGTTGTGTTAGACTTTGATTGGAGCTGGCTGCAACTGAAATTGCTCAACATCATTTAAAGTTTGGCTTTCAGGTATACATGGCACAACTGACTTAATGCTTTAGAAAATTATAAGCTTAATATTGCTATTTTATGGTTTTGATAAGTTCTAGACTTTCTCTCTTATTCAGGAAAGTCCACTTGACTTGCCATGAAATAGTTAGTGTAGAAACATTCAGGTAAAAGTAATTCTAAATCATGGTAAGCTTTTAAAAATATTGTGAAGGAAATTTGTTTCTTGTGGTAGTATGTATTTTAGAATTTCAGAGACCAATGGACTTTGCCCTTTTGCACACCAATCACACAAGTATACAGGAATACTTAAAGCTTCCCACATGCTGCATTCCAAATATGCTTCAGCTTCTGACTTGCAGATGTCATGTAAAAGAAACGTAATTTTCAAGGGTTAAAAATCTTGACTGTGTCTACAGAGACTACAAAACTGGATGTCAGCTATAGCAGTCCTGCCCTCATTTGGATGCTTCCATGGGGTCCACACATGCATCAGTTAGTGGCTTTCACTAGAGCTCTGGGATATTTTCTCAGTGTCTCCCAAAGTTAATGAAGGAAAACAGCCCGTTGCCAATAAGCTAAATTTTCAAAATATTAAGAGCCCATGGGTTAAGAGAAGTTGAAAACTTCAAAAGTAGTACTGTTATCCAGCCAAAAGCCCTTTCCACATTTTAAAAATCTGAGGGTAGTTGAGGTTGTCAGGAATCTCTGTGTCTGTTGGGCTTGAGTATTTTGGATAAATGCATCATAATTATGATTCTGAGGAGAAAAGACAAAATACTTTGCTAATTATTTTAGCTATACTTGTAAACCAGAGAAGACAGAGAAGTTTAAAAATTCCTTTTAAAAGCCTCTCAGCATCTCTGTTAGTCTTCGGGTATTTTTTTTTAGCCACCAATGACCTTTTTAAAATTAATAAGCAATGTTTCTTACATTCCAGGACTTATTGGAATTCTGCAAATCTTATCCTTAGATGAGTGAGAATTGGCTTAATATCCTGTTTGCTTCACCCCTTTCAGCTCTAAATGTTATAAAGAAGAAATCTGTCCAAAGTGAAATAAACCTGTAAATATTTTATAAGTTTAGTTGATACGTACTCCTTGGAGCACAGATTCAACCAAAAAGAAAACCTTTTGAGGTTTGATGCTGCTGCTGTTAATGTGAATGAAGGTGTCAGTTTACTTGTGATGTAGACAGCAGTGGCAAGAGAGAAAAGGCAGCGATGTGTGACTAAAATTTCCAGATACAATTTGAGATTCACTTGGTAACAGCAATTGCAGAAGTTGAACCTTGTTTGAATTATGTCTTTAGTTTCTAGTTGGTTGTTTTCCCATCTCTTATCACCTAGAATTTAGGTTACTGGTGACCATTTGTTTTTTCAGAGAGAGCTATTTCTTTTCTCTTCTGCTTTTTTTTTTTTTTTTTTTTTT